TCTTTATGGTCATCTTTTTATTCCTTCATTATAATTTTAAGCCTCTTCAGTTCTGGGGAACTTTCTTCTCTCGCTCTCTTTTTTTTTTTGATAATTCCTTTTTTATTTTCCTAAGTCTCTTAGGTGAATTTTGGACTCTAGACAGTTTTACTTGTTTATATTCTGGAAGATTTTCTTGACTTTATCTTTGAACTCTTCTATAGAATTTGTTTCAGCAACTATTTTTAATTTATAAGACCTTATCTTTTTTCCTTCCTTTCCACCCACCTCTTTAGGGAAAAAAAATGAAAACTGTTCTTGATTTATGGGGGGAAATACCTTAATTTCTCCAAGGATGCTAATTTCTTTAAAGAAGTTCTCTTGAGACAGTTCTCTAAAGTGGTAATTGCATACCGGTTTATGTTTTTGGCTGTTATTCTTAACTTTTAATTTTAAAATACTTAACCTATTTAATAGGTACAGAAGAGTATTACAGGTAAGACATCAGTAAACATACATTTACGCATTACCCAACTTAAGTAGTTCAACAGGGTGCGTTCCCTGGCCACATTTACAATATATCACTAAATAACATTATATATACATTGCATCATATAGGTGGGTTTTTTTTGGTATCTTAAATTTTATACAAATGGAGTAATATTGTATGAATTTGGGACTTTTTTGTTTATCATTGTTTTTAATTTTCCATTATAGGCATATACTATAGTTTATATATTTATATATTTTCCTGTTGGAAATTCATGTAATTTGTTTTTTTTTTTAAATAGGTCCTCAAATTTTTTATTCACACTTCTGAAATCCAAAAAACTAAAATGCTAAAAAACAAAACTAAGTTTTCAGTGGATTTACTTTTGAAAAAGCTTGACCTGCATTGATAATATGCAGTTTGTAATTTTTATTTTCTCATTTTGGGTGAATATGTATGTTTTACTAGAGTGATCCTAAGAGTAGCATTGCCAGGACTTAAGGATCTGTGATTCTCAGCAATACTGGGTAGTCCCATTTTCCAAAGAGGGTGATGGCAGCGTTTGCTTCCCTTCACCAATGCAGTAGTCATTGCTTAGATTTCTTGCTAACACTTTTATCAGACTTTAAAAGTTGCTGCTAGCAAGTATAAAATATTCTTAGTTTTTGTTTTCCCCTTTTTGTTAATGAATTTGAGCATGTTTTTACTGTTCTGATTAACATGTTCTTCCCTCTTCTGGAATTCTGTTCATGTCTTTTGCCCTTGTTTGTTCTAGGTCTTTTTTAAAAAATAAAATTCCTGACAGAATAGTTGGACTTATCTATCTATACTTTCTGACTTCTAGTTTATTAGTCCATGCCAACAGTGTCGTCATAATTATAACAACTTCCATAAAAACAAACTTCTCAACATTGCACCTATAGAAAGCATGGGTTGTGAGAATAAATATGGGTGCATTTTCTTTGTGTAAACCTATGGAGGTCAAGACAACATTATGAGTGCTCTAGAAACTGCCTCTGAGTCCCCTCTCAGCATTTAAGCTTCTCAGAGTTAACTTACTAACCTGACTTTAACATCTTAGTGTTGCCTGTTGTTTGAGCTCACATAAATGGAACTTCTACAAAATATGTTTTGTATCTTGGCTTTCCCTGCTCTATGGAAATTCATCCATATTGTTGCATGTAGTTGTTGTCTGTCTCTTCCATAGGCAACGTAGGCTTCTGGTTGCTCCATGTCCCTTGCCTGTCCTTTTAATTTTGGACACGTTGGTGGATGTTTAGTGGTTTTAATTTGCATTCCCCTAATGAGTATTGATTCTAAGCCCCTTTTAATATACTTGACCACTTGGTATCTTTCATGAAGTGCCCAAGTCCTTTGTCCATCTTTATATTGGCTCTCCTGTTTTTTTTTTCATACTGATTTGCGATTCACTGTGTGTCCCATATACCAGCTCTTAAGAATTGTATTTTGCAGATAACTTGTTTCCCCAAACTTACATGTCGAATCAGAGTTGTGCTTGACTTCTCAGCCTGTTCATTGTCCTTTTCTCATTGGCAGATATCTCCAAGAGAAAAGATCACCAGGGGAAAAGGTGCATCAAATGTTTGGATTCCTTTCCTAGGCTGATTAGGTTCTTGCTACTTTCATGCCTTCAAACAGATGTTTTTTTATACTGTTTAGTTTTTCAGGTTTTTACAGGGAAGGTTGATCTGAAACAGTCTAAGTTGTTGAGGGACACAGAAGTGGGTCAAGTCCTGCATTGTCGTTTTCAGGAAACTTACTGGCTATTTGCTCTTCTATGTAATTTTAGATTATCTTTTTAAATTATGTTGCTACAAACTGAGTACACATAACCCTGTTGGGATTTTGATGGAAAATAGATTGAATCTATAAATCAGTTTGGAAGGAGCTTTCATTTTGTTATTTTCTTTTTTTAATGTTAATAAAGTTTTCTTAACTATGAACAGTATAGTCTCCATTTATTTAGACCTTGTGCAATAAAATTTCGTCATTTTAATTTCCCTTAACTAAACTGTTGCACATATTTTATTAGTTATTTCTAGGTGCCTTGTTTTTGTATCACACATGGTATTTTTTTTATCAATATAACAGCATTCTACCTTGGTAGTATATTGAAGTGCATCTGAGTTTGAATAACAACTGTGCCATGCTCCTAATTGTGATACATAACATATAGAATTCTTTTGGACTTTCTATGTAGATAGTTCTGTCTGTGAATAATGATCTCTTTGTTTCCTCCTTTCCAATTCTTATGCTTTTTTTTCTTTCTTTTTCTTGTCTTAATGTGCTGGCTAGGATCTCCAGTACAATGTTGAATAGAAGCGGTGATGGGGGCATCCTGATCTTGTTCCTGATTTTAAAGGGAATGCTTTCAGAGTTTCACAGTTAAGTATAATGCTTGCTGTAGGTTTCTTGTAGATAATCTTTTCAGGCTAAGGATGTTCTTTTCTGTTACTAGTTTGCTCTAATTTTAAAAAAGAAATCATGAATGGATGTTGAATTTTATCAAAAGTTTTTTTGCATCTTTTGAGAAAATAAGTATTTCTTCTATAACCTGTTAACATGGTGAAATACATTGATTTTCTGCTATTTAAACCAACTTAGTATTGCAGGTGTAACGACAACCCTGATCTGTCTCCTCTCTCTCTCTTTTTTCCATTATTGGACTCAGTTTGAACTTAGTTAATATAGTATTTTTGCCTTAATCATGAGTAATACTGACAATTCTTAATCACTAATTTGGTTGTTTTGGTTATGAGATTGTTCAATTTTCAAAATTTCAAGCTGATATTAGTAGGTTATATTTATAAAGCAATCCACTTTACCCCCATTCCAGAAGTTAGGACATTCATTTATTAATTTCTTGGTTTGTAGTAACAGTGATATTTCTCGAAAAGCACCCCTCCTTTTTTAGTGCTTTCTGTGATCAGTTTTAAAAGCTAGAAGTTTGCCTGTTTTAGACCTTTGGAAGAATTTAAACTTGAGTCTTTTGTGATCTTTAACATATCCTACCCCATTTCATTAACTTCTGCTCTTCACTTCTTTGCTTATACTTCCTTTGGTTTTATTTCTGTTCTTTTCTATTTTATCAAATTGGACACATTCCTTACTAATTTTCAGCATTCTAACATAGGTATTTAAGACTGTGATTTTCTATGTACTGCTTTCTCTGGATCACATGCTTTTATGTAGTGTTTTATTTTTTACTTGTTAGTATTTTTCTGTTTTCCACTTTAATGGAAGATTTTATTTCTAAATATATGGGAGTCCACCGGTTTGGTGACTGGTTTGTAATTATGTTGTAGCAATAGCATGGTTTGTATGATACCAACCCTTTGAAATCTGTTGAATTATGTAGTCAGTTTTATGATTTTTGTTATGTGAAGAGAATGCATATTTTGTAATGGTGGGCACAGAATTTTATACATGTTAAGCAGTAGGCTTGTTATTATGTTCAAATCTCTCTATATTTTTAGAGTAGACATCTTAATTTTTTGCTAAAAATGTTTTTTATTTATATTGATTGTAATTCTATCAAATTAAAAAATATATTTTAATTTTTACTAGCAGATGAACATTTAAAGTATATTTTCCTGTTGAATTGAAATTTTCTCAGTGTAGTGACTTTATGTATAGGTTTCTGTTTTGTATTACATGTTGCTCTTTGATGTTAGTGCATTTATGTTTTTTGTTTTATTAGCTAATTTTTTGCCTGATTTTTAAAATTTCCCCTCCATTTTATCCTTTTATTTCAGTTTTAGCTCTTGTGATTATTGAGTTTTTCAGATAACTTGGTCTGATAGCCCTGGTTTCTGTGATTTTAAGCTTTTGATTAAATTATTGTCAATTTACTTATTGTAAGAAGTAATACAGAGACATCCCATGTACTTTTGCCCAGTCTCCTTGGGTGTTAACATCTTATAAAACCATAGTAAATACCATAACCAGAATATTGACATGGGCACAGTCAAGATACAGACTATTTCCAACCACGAGGAGCCCTTACAGTGTCATTTTTATAACAACACACATTTCCTTCCCATTCAGCCTCTCCTTCCCCTGGATCCATTCATCTTTGGATATTGCGTCAATGGAATCATACAGTTTGTAACCTTTTGGGTTTTTTCATGCAGTTTAATTCTGTGGAAATACACCCATGCTATTATATGTAACAGTAATTCATCACTTTTTATTGTTGAGTAATAGTCTATGATATGGACTTGTTTAGTTACTCATCTGTTGAAAAACATCCAAGTGTGTAGTTTTTGGCTATTATCATGAATAAAAGTGTCACAAAGACTTATGCATAGGTTTTTTGTGAACACGTTTTCGACTCTCGGGGATAATTGCCCAGGAGTACAGTTGCTGTTTGTGTGGTTATTGTATATGTAGCTTTTAAAGAACCTGCCAAACTCTTTTCCAGAGTGGCTGTACCATTTTACATCCCTACCAACAATGTATGGAGTGATCCAGTTTCTCTGCTTCCTCGCCAGCATTTGGTGTTTTCAGTGTTTTTCATTTTAGCCATTCTGGTATGTATCTAGTGTTATCTCACTGAGGTTTTTAAATTTGTATTCCCCTAATGGCTAATGATGCTGAACATATTTTTATGTGCTTGCTTGTCATTGTAT